TATGGCATTAACTATTACAGATTGTGATGCATATAGCCTATCTATGGATGATGATGATGATGATGATGATGATGATGATGATGATGATGATGATAGTGATGATGCATTATGTTGGACAACGATTTGTCTGCAATGGTATAGGGTTTCCTGCCAAGCAGGGGTTTGGACTTGAAAACCTACAAGGCCCCTTTCAACTCTGTTGTTCTGTTCTGTTTTGTTATGTTCCGTTCCATTCCATTCTATTCTATTCTATTCCTCCAAAGTTCTAAGTAGCCAGAACATACAGATATTCTCACCAAGTGAGGCTTTTTGGGCAGGTCAACACATTTGAGTATCACCTTTTGTCTCTCCACTTGGATTGGAAATAGCCCAATATGGAAAACTTGGGGAACTGAATCACTACCTACGGAAAGCCAGACCTGAAATCAGAGGACCATTTAATGCTAAGTCTAGTTAGAGCTCTTGTACTTCCCAAAGTATCCCAGAGATGCTAAGAGGCACAAGTGCAGAGAGAGTTGCTTACAGGGGTAGGGACTAGAATGGATTAGACTGTAACTTTTTGTCCTGTGTACAGTCACGGGCATATGGCAGACTACTGTGCCGGTTCTATTTTGATTCTTCCCATACCATGTACCAGCAAGAGTCATGTCCCTGTCCTGCTATTACCATATTTATGAGGTTCAGTGGAGCATAAGAAGCCTAACCTTCTGCCAGTTCTCCTTTTGCATCATCCATCCCCTTTCCCAGCAAGGTGCCATGAGATATTCATGAGTAGCCTCATTCCTTTCCCAGTGGGGCCTTGCTGCCGGCTGGCAGTCAGTACCATCTTTTTTTTTATTTTTTACTCAGACACCTGGTAAGGCTATGCCAATGTGTGTGCATGTGTGTGTGTTCATACAGCCCAGAACTGCCATAATGTTAGATCAAGACAGACAGCATCACAGCTTGATTCCCAACTATCCAGATCTGCTCCACACCCTGCCTTGCATATGTTTCTCTAGGCCTAGTTTGTACTTGTTACATAAACAATGTCAATGAACTACTGGGGATCAGTGGGACTTTTTTTTTTTTTGATCATATCCTCAACTGTACAGTGTTAGTTCACCTAGATTCAGATTGAGAGGTTAATGGTTCTGTGGCATGGTAATCAGTGTCTGAGCATAATGGCAAATCCCAAACTCAACCTTGTCTATAACAAAAAATGCAAAGCAATCTGCACAGCAATTGAACTGATCCCCTCCAGGCCTTCTCCCTTAGCCTCTCCTGATCTTGATCCAGTCTTGCTTTTTTCCTGGACCTTAGCTTTGCCTTCTGGACATGATCCTCCCTTGATCCCAGTGCATGAATATAATCAACTGTTGTGCAATTGGTCAATCTTCGTTGGTCAATTTTCTTTTAATCCATCCCTCATTTGGAGGGAAGCAGAATTGGCTTCAGCATGAACACTGTTGCAAGTCAAGGCTGCATAGGACAGTGCAGGCATTCTCCCATGATTTCACTCTTTGGTAATGTATTCCAGCCTGACTGCAAGCATTCCTTAAGTGTGAGAACTGGTCTTAATAAATGTTTGACATTCTATCAGGAAATTCCTACCACCTTGGAAAATGTTTCAGCGTAGCAAAGGGGTCAACTGCAGAAGATATGTGGTTTGGAGATGTATGCTATTTCTTGAAGTCAATACTTTTTCCTCCAGCCTGCTAAAGCTAGCAGCCACAAAGAATCAGAACCAATTCACAAAAGAACAAATTAAACATTCTTTTTTTAAACCTGCACTGGAACTAGGTAAGGCAAAAATGAG